GATATGTCACCTGTTGACCAACTAAGACAAGGCAAAGAATAGTTTGCCTTTTATAGTGGAAAGAGGGCTGCATTGAGAGTCTGAGGACTTCAGCTCAGATGATGCTACTGTAGATTTAGAGCTGGAGTGGACCCTGTAAGTCACTTGTGTCCTGCCTCTACTCCTTATCACCTGTGTGACTGTATGCAAGTCACTTAGCCTCTCTGGATCTCATTTTACTCATATGTAAAGTAAGTGGGTTTAGCTAAATTGAAGTACTGGGTTGAATTCCCTTCCAGCTTTAAATCCTATGGTCCTTAGTGTGATTTTGAAGAGGAATATAGACTTTTTAAGAAGGGAAAGGAGAATTTACAATTGAACAGGAAATGAAGAAAATTACCAAAAGCTATTTTGCCTTATTTTATCCTAGCCAAACTGATAACACAGAGAAATGAATGAATACTACAAAAATATAAAACAAATGGATTAACTAAAGGGGATTTATTTTATATGAATAATTTGACTTTTCTGGCCCTTTAAAATCAGATTAATAGTTTATTATGTTGTTGGGTTCCCCCTGCACTTTCCCCCCAAGAATGACATAGAGCAAGGATTTTCACCAAGTAGTAACCTCCCAGGATAATGGCTTTTTTGTCGTTGTTTTAATAGTATTCAATTTTTTCCCCCAGTTACATGTCAAGAAAATTTTTTAGCATTTATTTTTACAAGATTTTGAGTTCAAAATTTTTCTCCCTCTCTCCCTTCCCTCCCCCATTCTGAAAATGATAGGCAGTTTGATGTAGTTTATACATGTGCTTTCGTGTAAAAAATATTTCCATATTAATCACAGTTGGGAAGAAGTAACAGATAAAAAAAACACGAGAAAGAATAAAGTAAGTGAAAAAATATGCTTCGATCTGCATTGGAGTTCATCAGTTATTTATCTGGATATGTTTAGCATTTTCCTTTGTGAGTCCTTTGTACTTGTCTCAGATCATTGTGTTGCTAAGAAGAGCTGAGTCATTCATAGTTGATCATCAGACAATGTTGCTGATACTCTGTACAATGTTTTCCTGGTTCTGCTCATTTCACATTGCAACAGTTTGTACAAGTCTTTCCAGAATTTTCTGAAATCGGCCTGTTCATCATTTCTTATTGCACAGTAATATTCCATTATATTCATATGCCACAGCTTGTTCAGCCATTCCCCATTTGATGGGCATTCCCTCAGTTTGTAATATTTTGCCACCATGGAAAGGGCTGCTATAAATATTTTTGTACATGTGGGTCTTTTTCCCATTTGTATGTTCTCTTTGGGATCAGACTTAATGGTAGTATTGCTGGATCAAAGGGTATGCATAGTTTGGTTGCCCTTTGGACACACTTCCAAATTACTCTCTAGAATGGTTGGCTCAGTTCACAACTCCACTAACAGTGCATCAGTGTCCCAATTTTCCCACTTCATCTCCAACATTTAGCATTTTCCTTTTTTGTCCTATTAGCTAGTCTGATAGATGTGAGTTGGTATCTCAGAGTTGTTTTAATTTGCATTTCTCTAATCAAAAGTGATTAAGAGCACTTCTTCATATGCTTGTAGATAGCTTTGATTCATCTGAGAACTGCTTGTTCATATCCTTTGATTATTTATCAGTTGGGAAATGGCTTGTATTCTTATAAATTTGACTCAGTTCTCTATGTATTTGAGAAATAAGGCCTTTATCAGAGATACTTGCTGTTTCCCATCTTTCTGCTTCGCTTTTAATGTTGGTTGTATTGGTTTTGTTTGTACAAAAGCTTTTTAATTTAATATAATCAAAATTATTTTATATTTTGTAATGCTCTTTTTCTCTTGTTTGGTCATTAATTCTTTCCCTCCCTACAGATCTGACCAGTAGACTATCCCTTGTTCTAATTTGCTTATGGTATTACCCTTTATGGCTAAATCATGCACCCATTTTGACCTTATCTTGGTATACGGTGTGAGATGTTGGTCTATACCTAGTTTGTGTCCTATTGTTTTCCAGTTTTCCCAGCAGTTTTTATCAAATATTGAGTTCTTATCCCAAAAGCTGGGTTCTTTGGGTTTATCAAATATTAGGTTACTATGGTTATTGATTACTGTGTCTTGTATATGTAACGTGTTTCACTGATCTACCACTTTACTTCTTAGCCAGTACCAGGTAGTTTTGATGATTAGTGCTTTATAATATAATTTGAGATCTGGTATTGCTAAACTACCTTCTTTTATATTTTTTTCATTAATTCCCTTGATATTCTTGACCTTTTTTCTTCTAGATGAATTTTATTATTTTTTTCTGGCTCTATAATTTTTTTTTGGTAGTTTGTATGGCACTGAATAGGCAAATTAGTTTAGGCAGAATTGTTATTTTTATTATATTAGCTTGGCCTATCCATGAGCAGTTGATAGTTTTCCAGTTGTTGAGATCTGACGTTATTTGTGTGAAAAGTGTTTTGTAATTGTGTTCATATAGTTCCTGGGTTTGTCTTGGCAGGTATTTTATATTGTTTACAGGTATTTTAAATAGAATTTCTCTTTCTATCTCTTGCTGCTGGGCTTTATTGGTCATGTAAAGAAATGCTGATGATTTATGTGGGTTTATTTTATATCCTGTGATTTTGCTAAGGTTGTTAATTATTTCAAGCAATTTTTTATTTGATGCTCTAGGGTTCTCTAAGTATACCATCATGTCATCTTGAAAGAGTGATAATTTTGTTTCCTCATTGTCTGTCCTAATTCCTTCAATTTCTTCTTCTACTTTTATTGCTAAAGCTAATGTTTCCAGTACGATATTGAACAACTGTGGTGATAATGGACATAATTGTTTCACCCCTGATCTTATGGAAAATGCTTCTAGCTTGTCCCTATTACATGTGATGCTTGCTGAAGTTTTTTGACAGCTATTGTTTCTCATTTTAAGGAATGCTCCCTTTGTTCCTATGCTCTCTAGTGTTTTTAATAGGAATATGTGCTGTATTTTGTCAGGAGCTTTTTCAGCATCTGTTGAGACAATCATATGATTTCTGTTTGTTTTGTTATTGATATGTGCAATTATATTGAAATTTTCCTAATATCAAGCCAACCCACATTCCTGGTACAAGTAGCCCTGGTCATTGTGTATAATCCTTGTAATATAGTGCTGTAATTGCATTGCTATTATTTTGTTCAAATATTTTTGCATTGATATTCATTAGGGAAATTGGTCTATAATTTTTTTCTGTGTTTTAGCTCTTCCTGGTTTAGGTATCAGCACCATATTTGTGTCATAAAAGGAGTTTGGTAGGACTGGAAAGGCTTTTTAATATATAAATGTGGTAATCTCCCACTTTTAAGAAGTAATCTTTATTAAAAATTTGTACTTTTCATATATTTTGTAAAACAGAATTGGTTATCAAGCAGTTGAAACCCTAGATAAATGATAAGAGAGTACAGCACCTAGCTGCCCTCAGTGGGTTCAAGTCATTAGGCATAGAGAAACCCCATCCCAAGGTAGTTATGACTATTGAGTTGGTATCAGTATTGTTGTCTAAAATCAAAATGTGCTACTTGAAGACCTAATGAATTGCTACTCACTAGAATTCTTCAAGTAAAGTGTCTTGACCCTTGTCAGGGAGGTTGGAGAGGTTGTTTTTATGCTTTCGTTTTCTTTACTTTCTTTTTTAAAAGGTCAGTTGTGTCTCTGGTCTGAATGTTTTGGATTAAGTGGCTGTCAAGGCCTTCTGTTCTGCGATTCTGTGATTCAATGCACTTTTTAGTTCCCTCCTCCTTACCACTCACCCCCATCCAACTGAAGTTCTTAAGTCATTTAAAAGAAACCTCCAAGCTCGGACATCGAAAACTACAGCAATGTTCGTGCCTTCTAATGTACCTTTTAACAACTGTTCAAATAACCTGGTTTCCCCTTCAAGCTTATTTAAACATCCTAGTGTGCTGAAAGTGAGGTAATTTATGACATTACTTTGATAAGCAAGGTAATATTGATTTGCTGTAAATGAGAATGACTGTCAAATCAAGTATTTTCTACAGTCTTCTCAAGTTCAGCCATAAAGGTAGACTTTATAGAAGGAAAGTGCTCCCTTCTTGTATAAACAGTTGGAGAGCTGACCTAAAGAAATCTTCTCATAAGTGTCCTGAAACCTGATTGTAGATTGATACAGAAAAGGGGAGGGAAAAGAAATGAAACAATTTTCTAGCAATTCTACATATTTTTGAGCTCTGTGTTCCATTTTGGCTTCATACACTGTAAGCCATCTTCTTTTAAGTTCACACTCTGGATTGGCTCATCCCGAGGTTATACATGATTTATGATAGCAGGTATTGCCTTCATGAAAAACAGACCTTCTGAACTTTAATAAGAAGGTGCTATTGAGAAGATGACTTTGGATTAGTCGATTGTCTTAGTTCCATCATGCAGCCATAAACACTTTCTGTGTTGTGCATTCATGGGACCTGATTACATCCCTGTGGAGTTGATAATGAGTTTAAGATGGTTTTTCAGAGAGCAAAATAACACCTTTACCCAAGCTGGTCTAAGCAATGAGGGTTTCAGCCCACGTAATTTTGCTGCCCCTAAAATTCTTTTGCTACTTGAAATAAGTACAATAACCCTTCTATTAATCCATTTTCATCCTTTTGATTTCCTTTCAGTTTTTACCTTTTTTCATTACTGCTATTTTCATATTCCTCTCCCATCACTTCAGAACAAATACCTTTTCTCAAACAGCTTTTTAAGGTTCATGTCCCTTTTGGGAAGATATTTCTTCTCCACAATTGTTGATTTTTGTTAAGTATTTTCCATAGTTTCTGCCAGTTATGATTGATGAATGTAGCATGTAGACATTGAGCTCCCATAAGGAGTGTCATATAGTTTTCAGTATATGTTCTGGAAAGTTTCTAACCCTGACAAGAGTAAATTCTTCATAAAGAAGAATTATTTGTTAAAAAAGGAAATCTCTCTATGGACAAGACCTTATGTTTTCCCCCCTTGACTTTTGTTTTCCAGGTATGCTTCTTGTCACAACAGACACCCTTGGTCATGATTTTCATGTCTTCCAAATCCTGACTCATCCGTGGTCCTCATCACAGAGCGCTGTCCATCATTTGTACACCCTTCATAGGGGAGAGACTGAAGCCAAAGTAAGTCATTTCTTTGTTCTTGATGTAGTCTTTGGTTTGTCTCCGTGCTGTCAGTCATATTATAGTGGAGTTAAATGTGGATTTCAGTAAGGAAATGCTGTCTTTTGTGATGGAGCCATAAGGTGTTTTTTGGAGATAAGTTTTGCACAATTGCAGTGAGGTATCACTTTTCTTCATACATTACATTGCTACCAGAGGCCTTCAATGCTATGGTTTTACTGAACCTTTTTCCTTCAATTTTCTTCACTTTTAAAAGCGTGTCAGAACCTTATGTAAAACCCAGTCCTTTTTGTTTCAGACTAGTATCCAAAGGCAAAATGTGTGCAGGAAAAAAAAAGAAAAAATATGCCTGAGACTAATTACCCCCTTTTGGAGAACATGCTTTAATATAAAAGGGGACTATAACATATGTGAAATTATTAAAGACATTTAGAATTACCATGAAGAAAGATTGTCTTTTTAGTATTAGTAGTAAAGTTAGAAGTCTTGCCCTCCACTACATAGGACTCTCTGATCTCCACATTATAGTGAACTCTAACTCAAGCTTTCTGAATTTCAAATAAAGTATGTTAAATGGGAATCTTTAGGGAACTCTCCTCATAGTTTTCCCCCTGCTTTTTCTTTCCTCCTGTCATAGTTCAGAAAGATTTATTGATACAGTAGCTACAGATGTATAGTGTGGCTTCGAGGTTTTCTCTTAGTTCACTTTTTTGATTCTGTCAGATCAATTGGGAAATCTCAGCTTTTGGCATTCAACATCTTTCCCAAACTATCACCATTGAGCATTTTATCCAAACCAGCTGTCCTGGGGAGAGTGAGAAACTAGAGGATGGAATTCCAACCACTACAAACATAATTTTTTATTTAACTTCTCCTAATGCTCTTTCACGTGAATTAATAACTATATTCACAATTTACACCCACTAGAATTAAGCTCAGTAAATATTCATGGGCTTATGTACATGGCTTTTCCTTTGTCTTACCAGCTCCCTTTCTTTCCTCTAAGGTAGGAATAGATAAATAGTAATGGTATCAAAACTTGTCATTAAAATTTATAAAGACAGAGATCATATCCTCTATTTCTTTTGTACTTTCATCCTCTCATAGTTCTGATGCTGTTAGTATTGTAGCTGTTCAGAATTGAAGTTGCGCTATTGTTTCCATGCCTTCTGTTTTGAACTCAAGTTATGTATATGTTACTATATATTATTATTATATTATATTAGATATAGCCAAATTATTATATTTTTATTATATCAGATATATCTATAAATATATAATTTATTATGTTAGATATATTAGATTTATTATATTAGATATATAATAATAAATATATTATTATATTAGATATAACCAAATATAATTATATATTATATAATACTATATTAGATATAGCCAAAACATATGATATTATTAAGACTTCCCTCTCTAATTGCAGAGGAATTCATAATTCTCTACAAATTTTTATAGAGGACTTTGCTTTGCTCCAGTGTCTCCAGAGAAGGGTGACAGGATCATAAAGGAGTTCATTTCAGATAAGTGTCAGTTGAAGTTCTTGGGGATTTTTAGCCTGGAGATGAAAGGAATCTTGGCAAATTTCACAGCTTTCCACAAGAATGAGAATGATGGACCTAGATTTGCCCTTCTTGGCTTCTTAGGGAAGAACTAGGAGCAGTGGTCAAAGTTTCAAGGAGGTGAATTTAGCCTTGATTTCAGAAAGACTTTATCAATTAGAAATGTTGATAAGTATATTGGGCTGCCTTGGGAAAGAGTCGTTTACTTCTCCATGGAGGTCTTCAAGCTCAGGCTGGAAAACCACGTATGTGTTAAGGAGGATTCCTTTTGTCATCAGTTGTGTTCGATGGCCCCTGCCCTTCCTTCCATCTCTCACAATCTGTGATGCCATGCATCAGTGAAACATTTCCTAATGACTTCTTATTGTTTTTATGGACATTGAAGGGATGGAAATTATATTAATTTTCCAAGTGGGTAAATGGACACACATACACACAGATTCAATATTCTATTGGGTTATATTTTCTAGTATTTGCTTCCAGACTTTGTTACTAAGAGGTAGTACTTCTGTAATAAGGAACGTGTTTTAAATTAGTTTGAAATTATAGGAACTTGACCTGTGATTTTGTTGATATGGGAAATCCTAGCTAGCATCATCTTTCTAACTGAGAGTCTTAGTGCATTGCCCAAAGCACTGAGAGATTAGGTGACTTCCTTAGAATCATAAACCATACTATATCAGAGGCAGGGCTTGAAACCAGGCCTTTCTGACTGCAGTAATGATGATGCCATCAATGCCTTTCTAGATATAAAATGAGGTAGAAAAAGTTATGCTTTTAGCAGGAATAGAATGAAAGGAATAATTAAACAATTAAATGCAAGATCTTCTTACATTTTAGAAACTGACTTATTTCAAACTTTAAAGGAATGAGTAAATCCTCCTGTATTTTAGTAGTCTTCAATGAGCTCTCCTTTCTTCTGAATTCCTGTAGCTTGTCTTTCGTTTTCAAAGAGAGCCAATGGCATCGCAGGTGATGTCTTGACTGGATGGTGAATTAGATTTAAGTGAGGCAGAGTTGCACAGAGTTGCACATAGTCACCAGCCTTACTGTCTCTTCCTGAATCATCTGAAATCCAATGGCAGGACAAGTCAAGACAACTGGCAGTGGTCCAGTATGCAGTGGATGACCTTGGCATCTTCAATGTGTGACCAAGCTCTGAGTGCTCCATAGCATCTGCTTCAGCCACCTTCATGATCTTTGGAACAAATTGTTCTTATCTGCCCATTCTTCTGGGAGAAATCTTCACATGCTTGCGTAGACATCACCTAACTCACTGACAAGTTTGAGGCCTTTTAGTTTCCCTCTACCTGGGTTAGCCCATCTGCTGACCCTGTTTCCCAGATTGTGACAGCTGCACATGCTACAGTCATAGGTGAGAATTGGGTGAATCAGGTGGACACCAAACGTGGATGAACAGCCCTGAAAAGGGTTCAGCAAGCTCTCACATCAGAGGTGCTAGTCTTCTGAACACCCCAATTCCCGTAGCACACATTATCTATACCACACATTACACATTCTTTTACATTGTTATTTGTCTTACTGTACATATATATTTAACTTGTTTGTAATGCTTTTGAATCATGGCTAGCTGTTTGGATCCCCTGTTCCTGTGCTTTGCATATCCTCCGTGTATCAGTGAATGTAAAATGGGAATACCAACTATGTTCCCATTTTATAGCCCCAAAAATCAAGGGTTTGAGCAGCTATGTAATTTGCCCACTGAGTTAGGACTTTGTCACAGTCTCCTAACCACAAAACCTCAAAATGCAATCACCCTGACTTGGCCACCATGAAAATTATTTTTTTACAACTTTCCTACTGAAAATCCTTTTAGGCTCAGATAGGAAATTAATAAATGATATGTATCATATATTTAGAAATACTTGTAGCATGTGATCTACTTGCTTTTTCATTTCTTTACAATCAGGTTATTCTAGATTTAGCTGAAACATTTGAGGATGCTTTAATCAGGCTGCAGAAAGTCAAGTATGTGGATCTAATTATGTTGAATTAAGTTGTTTTGTGGTCTGTGACTTGGGATATCATCTGCATCTGACAACAATTTTCCTTATAAAGCACATATGTAGTAAGAAAAATATTCCTTGTTTTCAGCAGTTAAGTCATATGTGGTTGAAACCTTATGGGTACTCTTAACATTATTGTAGTGTTATTCAGCTTCAATAAAGTGTCTCACTGAAAGCAGGGTTCTCTTTGAACATAAGATACATAGCAGAATTATTCTTGAAAGAAATATCAGTCAGATAAATGTCTGGCAAACAATATTCCTCTGAAAGTATCAGAACAGTCCATCCAAATGGAGCACAATTAGTACCTTTCATTGCCAAAAAAGAAAAGAAAGAAATCCTGCTGGTTAGTAGGTTTACTAAATTGAAACCATTTGATAGTCACGTGATTTCTTTCAGCTTTAAGGGAGTGCCTTGTAGTATGTATGTTAACAGCTTTGTGGTGAGAAGCATACATGCATATTTTAAAAGGTGTGTTTCCAACTCTCTCTTTCATTCTTGAGTTTTGGAAACCAAATTCATTTGAGCCCAATTTTGCTAGATTGGCGATATGAGGGGAATGAATGACCTCGCTAATGAAGGGAAGGAAGGAAAGGGAGAGAAAGAGAAAGAGAGAGAGAGAGAGAGAGAGAGAGAAAGAGAATGGCCATTATGCATTCTGAAGGTAGGTAATATATTATCTTTCACCTTTGCATTCTTTGCATTAGTCTCTAGCACAGGACATTGATCTAACAAGAAAATAGAACTCTTAGGCCTTAGCAGGAGACGAAACAAAAGCTAAGCAGAGGATGCATTTATTTGATGGATCAGGATTAGTAATGGGGTTGTTCGGTGTGAGAGAAATGTCTTTGTGTATAGGAGTCTTAAGAAATGGAGCTGCAAAATGTGATAGGCCCCACTAGCACCTGCTAGAGGTAGCTAAGTGGCATAGTGGATAGAGTGCTGGGGCTGGAGTTTAGAAAACATGAATTCAAATCTGGCCCCAGACACCTCACATCTGTTTGCCTCAGTTTCCTCAATTTGTAAATGAGGATAATAATAGCACCTCTCTTCCAAGGTTGTTTGGAGGATCAAATTAAATATTTGTAAAGTGCACAGTATAGTGCCTGGTACATAGTAAGCCCTTAATAAATGCTGATTTCCCTCCTTTCTTACATTGAGTAGCAGCTGCAATCTTTAAACAGAATTCTAAAATGTGACCTTCCACAATATGAATTAGGGGTTGGTTGTCTTTGGTGAGAAGATTTACTGCCAGATCTCTCTAGATATTGAATGAATGAATGAACAAAGCATTTAAACCACTTATTATGTACAAAGTACTGTGCTAAGTGGTGAGAATGCAAAGAAAAAAGTAAGATAGTCCCAGCACTTAAAGACCTCACATTTTAATGGGCAAAGG